CATCTTTGAATGACAAATCAGTCGTCATCATTCGGCTAAGAACAGTCGACAACTCTCATGGATATACAATGAAAAAACTCTTCTCTCGAAAAAAATTACATTTTTCACATGTTACAGGTGCTCACTATAATAAGGATAGCTTTTGAATGATAAATGATAGAGAGTCCGGGATTGCGTAGGTTGAAAGAGCAGAGGTTGCTCTATCGAACCATCAGCTTAGAATTGCAAATACATAGAAAAACGTTTTTGTCCGGCAGGGTACAAAATCCTTAAAGACAACTAACAACCTTGATCAGCCACTAACCTATTGAATATAATATACATGTGGCCCCCAGAGGTTACTCTTTCTAATGGTGAAAAGACCAACTCGCTAGCTGCATCCGTTCGGGAGATATCCATCCTAGAGTTTTCTCCATCTACTTCTGGCGCCGACAGTAGTTTAAAACATGAGCTGCAAATAGCATACACAGAACGAGATATTCGAATTTCAAGAAATTTACAGTTTGTTATGTGCCCACTCTACGAAATTTCATCAACCTTTAGTTTTCTTTTTTCGTCATGGTTGGACGGAACACGACTATTTACATACCGAGAAACAATATTACACATATTCAAACGCAATTTGGCAGCAATTAGAATTTTTTGTTTATTACTCTTATAATTAAAAAAATGTTGTTCTAGACTTCGTAGAATTTGCTTTTTAATATGCGTGATACTGTTTTTTCTTATGTAAATGATCGTCCTCCATCCAACCATGATGAAAAAAAGAAAACTAAGTGTTGATGAAATTTCGTAGCGTGGGCACATGACAAACTGCAAACTTCTTGAAACTCGAATATCTCGGTCTGTGTACGTTATTGGCAGCTCATATTTTTAATTAGTTGGTTTGACAATGAGACCATTCATTTGATCTGACTATGATCAAGCTCCTTAGCTTACAGTACAGTATCTTTCACTCTAAGCTATATAATGTTTGTGTTGTCTTTCTTTACTATGAAATACTTTTGGAAATAAAGTATGAATCGATAAACAAAAAAGTGAAGCATTTTGTGCAAGTATGTCAACATGATAGCCCTTGATTTGCAAGAAGTTACTCTTTCTGATTAGTTTCCGATTTCGAAGAAAAAATTCTGATTTTTTTCTGATTTTCAAGTTTTTCATCTGGGAGTCCTGGTTAAGATACCCGAAGCAATTCTTTCCTTCTTCTTTTCTTAATTGTTCACAAAAAGAGCAAACAAAAAGTGCATGTGCGATTCAGACGGAAGAATAAAAATAGAGTTACTGTCTAATTCAAAAATAAATAAACCAGGGTGTGGGTGTGGGTGTGGGGTGTGGGTGTGGGTGTGGGTGGGTGTGGGTGGGGTGTGGGTGTGGGGTGTGGGTGTGGGTGCGGGTGTGGGCTGCGACGACATCATTTTACACTCACACCCACCCCACCCACACCCGCACCCACACCCACACCCTTATTTGGGCTCGACAAGCGTCAAAATTTCAATTGAGACAACATGATTTTTACCGATGAGAAGACATTCAAACTTGGCAGCAATGGAAAAAAAAGTTTGACGATTTCCAGGTGTCACCAATATTATTTGTATAGTTAGATATTCTGTCAAGCATGTGCAGCATATATAAGAACAGTCTTCTGCCTACTCCTTATCGTCAAGTTTTCTGAAGATCCACATAGCTAGATCATTCAAGAGGACAATGATTCTAAGCACAGATCTCGTCTGTCAATCGACAATCAAATTCAAGTTCTGTCTTGATTCTCTTCGTCACCAAATCAAAACCCAATTGAAGACATTTGGTTGATAATGAAGGATACAATAAGTTAATAAGTTAAAAACAATTCAAACAAACTCAAGAGTTGGAACAAGAAACAAAAAAAAGCATGGACAGCTCTATCAATTAACTTGACTGTCAAAATGGTTGATCATATGAAAAGACGAGCACAATATTCGATTGAAACAAATGATAACTATACATCATATTAAAATAAGATACATATGTTATACTTTAGTTCAATAATAAAAAGATTGTAAAGAAAAAAGAGGAGGACGAGAAAGACTTTTGCCCAGAGGTTTTATATACCTTTATTAGATGAAGAAATAGTTTTATTTCATTTTTAAAAAGAAACAATATCAAGCAAACACATTTTTTTATTATGATCTTTATTTGTAAACAATAATAAACGAATAAAATGAGCTTATTGCATGCTTCTTTTTTGTGTCCACGAAAACATTGAACTTCTTCTTTAAGATTTCTTATATCAAATAATTTACAAAAATGATCATGTGATGCTGATATTAACCAATTTCCATTATGACGATTCCATTTTAATGCCATACATGTATTTTTATGAGCATGACTAAATTATTTAATAAAAAAAAACAATCGATGGTTTTTTTTGTTTGTCTAAAATTAAAGAAATTAATTTACAGTGTTGCTAATTTTTTTCCACTTTTTGGATCCCAAAGAATAATTGGTTGTTGGGAATCTTTACTACCAGAAACAAGTAAACCTTTATGTGGATGCCAATCAACACATTTTACATCACATCCATGACCTAATTTGTTTTTTTTTTTAAATAGATAATAGAATTAAAGAAAAAAAAAGTAAACAAACCTCGTAATTCACGTTCTTCAGTGCCGGTCATAAAATCAAATATACGAATAAAACTATCATCAGAACAACTGGCAAATTTGCTATCATTCGGTGAAAATCTATATGAAAAAAAGAAAAATGATTCAATAATACGATTTTATTTAAATAATTTCAACTGGAAATGAAATATAAGATAATTCATTTCAAGTTCGATAGATTGATCAAAAACGATGAAAAACAATAAACATACATTCATGAGATTTCACGAGATGACTATTCAAAAAAATATTACCAGATTTTAAAATACATAAGGTCAGCTCTTAGAAAAGTTTTTCAAAAGTTATTGTGCATTAGATCTTACTGTTTAATTGCTTAGTCCTTGTAAATAAAATTGTTTACACAAAGAAATGGTCAATGATAATTAAAGAAAAAACAATGATTGGTTTACAATATTTCCAAGCATCCAATGTATTTGCTAACGATTTATAGTGACTGCCATAATATTCTCGAAATTCTCAGGTCAACTAACTACAATATAAACGGGGGTTTTAGGTGGTTGTTTTTACCGTTCGGTCGGGGTGGCATTACGACCGTATTTCACTGTGTACGGCACGATAAAATACAGTGGTAATACTGTGTCTACTAAATGTCAATTTACAGCTATTAACGACCACAAATTGTATGAAACGGCATGATACAATATCGTTTTCTAGGCATCTCGGCAACTCTAATCATCGTCATCGATTGGTATTACCTAGACCAATCGTTATGGATCACTTTATTATGCCGTTACAGCATGCCCAATATCACTAGCCATATCCTCACCTAAAACGTCATAATGTTGCCGTATTCTATCATACATACGCCCGTATTACTGACTCTGTATTTTCTGGTAAATACAACATCTTTAATGTATCGTATTTCACTGTAAACAGTCGTATTCTTTGATTAAAGTAGATTCTATTATATTTTTTATATTTATTTTTTTTTTTGAGAATAACTTTTTTTAATCATTAGGAATTTCATACTGATAAACTATTTATTATTTATTTCAAAAAAGTATATGCACTACTGTGTCAAGAATGATTCGCGAATGAAAATCTAGAATTTAACACTTCATTAAAACAATTAATTTCTTCGTTTGTCATCATTATTTACATAATGAATTTTCAAAAAAAAAGTCTCTTTGATTTTTTAATATTAAAAAAATCTAATATATTCCTCAAACTACTCTGTTGATGTTTTTTTTTTTCTTTAATAAATATAACTTACGTTAAACCTCTAACTGGATCATTATGTGCTTGATATACTTTAACATTATTCATATTTGATTGCCTATATTTAACAAAACCATTATGATCACCAGTTAACATCCATTGTTCATTATTCGACCAAATCATTGCACGTACAGCTGAATCATGTGCCTTAATTAAAAATACAATAAATCAATGAAATTTTTTTTTATTATAATGTCTACTTGTAAAATAGTTTCAAAATTAAATATTAATCCATTCCATAATGTAAATTCTCCACTAGATGCACCTGTTATCAAACGACGACCATCGGGTGTCCACTAAAAATTTTTCAAGTATTAAAAAAAATAAAATAAAATAAATATCGAAATATATACAACTTACACAAACACAACAAATTGGACATCGAACTTTATTTGTTGCTGGTCGAATAAATTTTGTCATTACACAATTTACTGGATTTAATAGAAGAGTATGAGGTGGAACAAGCTATAATAAAAACCAAAAACACATATTTTCAATTCAAATATATAATTAATAATCATTTTACATGTGGAATATAAAGAACATCAGGTTGTAATGATCGTCCATCAGTTAAATTTCGTTGCCAAATCGAATTCTAAAACATAATTCTAATCATAGTAATAATTAATAATAGTTCTCACTTCAAGATAACGTATAATTGATGAATTATAATCGACTGTTTTACGAGCCATTGTTTTAGTAACATTTTTCCATCAAAACCGATTTCACCTTGGTTTTTTTTTCAAAAGAAAAAACAATTCAAAATATTTTTTTTTGACATAAATTAAAATAGTTTTTATCAATTTACCAGGTTGGACAGGTACAATAGATGAATTAAGTGAATTAGATGTTTGACCACTTGAAGTTACATGATGATGTTGAGAATAATGAGGATGATGACCAGTGAAACGTGGTGGAGGCCTACAAATTAACAGAAATTATGAAAACAAAAAATTTTTTATATCAAAAACTCACATTTTTGTTTTTTTTTGGATAATCGAAACCTAATGCATTTATTTTAAAAACAATATTTAATAAGGAAGACTGACAGATTTCAGTGAGTAATAACGGAAGTTGAGTAGTTCTAAGATTTAACCCAACAAGATATTAACCAATGAAGTATTCGCCATCAATAGAGGGTGTTAAACAACATTTAATACATTATTAGTCAAAAGAAATCATTCTATTTTTCTATTGCTTAATCAATAGACACCAATTATTTTTTGCAAAGAATCATAACTACTAATTTTTTTTTTGTATTTCATCATCTTCTTTTTTCTTCGTATTTATTTTTTTGCTCAGTCAATCGTGTCATATAGAATATTTTGTTTTTTTTTCTTCATTACTTAATCATTGTCATTGATCAATGGAGTGCAATACGAAAACACAACCATTACGTATTGGTTTACTTGGTTTTGGTCATCTAGGACAATTTATTTATCAATATATTGAAAATGAACGTCATAAATTTATATATGATTTTGATTTAATTTTTATATGGAATCGATCAAAAGATATTTTTTCAACATATGATAAAGAACTTAATCAAAATTTAATTGTATCAACGGTTGAAGAAGGTTTACAACGTTTACCAGATTTAGTTATTGAAGTAGCACATCCAAATGTTATTGAAACATATGGTGAAAAAATACTTGATATATGTAATTTATTTATTGGATCACCAACAGCTTTTGCTAATGCATCACTTGAAATAGCATTAAGAAAAAAAACTCTTGAATCAGGTCATGTTATTTATATAGGTACAGGTGCTTTTTGGGGTGCTGAAGATATTAATAAAATGAATGAACGTAATACACTTCGTTCATTATGTATTACAATGAAAAAACATCCAAATTCATTTAAACTTAATGAACCATTACGATCAAAATTAATTGATGAACGAACAAAACTTGGTGATCAACCAGGTGAAATTATTATGTATTCAGGTCCAGTTCGTGAATTATGTCAATTGGCGCCAAATAATGTTAATACAATGGCTATTGGTGCAATAATTGCTAGTAATCTTGGTTTTGATCGTGTTCAAGGATGTTTAATTGCTGATACATCATTATATGATCGAATTATTGTTGAAATTGAATTAACAGGACCAGAAAAAATTATTGATGAAAATAAACAAGTGAAATTTCATGTGAAAACTATTCGAACTAATCCAGCTGAATTAGGTGCTGTTACTGGTACAGCAACACTTCTTTCATTTATTAGTAGTATTAAACGTGCAAAAGGTCGAAAGCCAGGCATTCATATTGTTTAATCAATTCATATTATATTTATACTTATACTACGATTTTTTTTCTCAATAATTTTTTTTTTAAATTTTTAGATAAAATAAAAAAAAATGAATGACATCAAAATCTTCTAGTAATGTTTCAACATTAAAACGAAAAGTACAAGTTGTACAACAATCACCATCATCATCGTCATCGTCATCATCTTCTACACCAGCAAAACATATTAAAAAAGAATCAAGTTTAGAAAAACGTATGGTTTATATTTATTATAGAGGAAATTAAAATTAACATAAATAATCTATAGAAAAATTTTAAATCTTCCTAAACAACAATAAATACAAGAGGTTTTCTCTTAGGAAAACTCAGAATAAATAATGACATGATATCGCACTTTATTAACTCTTTGGAGACGGTGGTACAAGAGTTGTACCACCTATTTTCCAGTAAGAAAAATGTTTGTTTCTCATAAAGCTATTATCATCTGTAAGGTAATAGGTCGTTCCAGCTACCATCGCATGCATATCTTTCCTCTCTTTCTTTCTGTCATATAGATGCTTCTCAGATCTTGTCTTTTCTTTCTGCTCTATACACTGACGTCATGATCACTTTCTTATCTTGATGTATTGCCATAAGGCTTTTATGTAATCATTTTGAGCCACATACAATAAATTGACGAAAGAACCGTTTTTCAATTGAAAAATAATTCCGTCCCCAAAGGGTTAATTTAAAAAACTACTTTTTATGGTATATAGCATATTCCACATGGTTGCAGAAAAGTTAGATTTCATTCTAAACTAACAAGGAAAAGTCTGAGATAATTAAAAGCTTTTGAGCCAAGGGGGAAACGACGTACTCCTGTACTCTGCGGAGTCCATGTACTCCAACTGGACTCCATGTACTCTCACTGGACTCTGTGGACTCTGTGGACTCTAAGAGTACAATGAGAGTCCATAGAGTACAGTATATTGAACGTTAAATATAGATTCACAATATCTTTAATATTTCTATTAAGTTCTCCCATTTCTTCGTCGGAAACGACTCTGATGAAAAACAGACTATTTTACTAACTAGATTTATATTGACTTAATTTTTATAACGAAATAAGCAAAACTGAACACGACCAGGATCTTAAAGAATCTAGAACTCTTCTTGCGCTGCGAGTATAAACTTCTTTTTTGGGCTATGTATCAGCATGCGAAACATAGATGTCGACTAACAAGTAGTGTACTAACTGTATCTCTCAATTAACATAAGTCTGTAACTAATCATTAACACAAAAATCGGTTGGCGATATCCGGAGGTCAAAAAATATCCATTTACAGATGAATTCGCAAATGAAAACACGAATTACATCATGACCCAAATATTGTTGACAAGTCTATTGCATTATTTAGACAATGAATTCAAATCATTTTTTTCTTGTAACATATGAAAATACGTTCTATTGTTGTTCTTCATCTACATTTTAAATATTTCAATACAAGATGCAAAAGCCAAATTATCAAGTTTTTTTTTCAAAAATATAATAAAAAAAATGACTTTTGACAAAAAAAAATAACAAAAAGTTCTAACAATTCATTTCTTCATTATGTCCTATTTTTGCATAACACGAATGAGACGATCGTTTGACAAGACCTGCTTGTTTTCAGTGAAAATCCAACAAGCAGTCTGTTTGTGAACAAATTTTTTTTACCACCTATTTCAACTTCAAAAAAAGATTTTGCCAACTCGGGTCGAACTGTGTCGAATACTCGCATTCCAGAGAACTTAATTCCATCTAAATCATTTAAGATTTCATTTGACGAGATACATGATGTTTCATCTTGTTGATCTTCACTTTCAACGTCACTTTCTGAATCGAGAACAATATCTAATTCATCTTCCGAATCTGATGTTTCATCTTTTGATTCGTACAAGTCAGAATAATCCATAATATTTATTCTTTGTGTTAGGATGTTGTGAATATAGCAGTTAAGTTGTTTCATATTTATAATCTTCTTTTCATCAAGAAAATTTTTAATTTTAAAACCATGTATTAAGTTAGTAGCATCATTAAATGCTTGTAAAACTGTATTTGTAATTATATCGACATTGAATGTATTATGATTTGAAATTATATTATTTGTTTTTTTAATTTTTTTTCCTTGTTTATAATGTTTTGGAAAAACAAGAGCACCATTCATTGAGAAAAATTCACTCTCAGTTTTGATTTTATTTAAGAGAGAAAGTTTCTGTGCACGATTAAGAAATTCTTGTACAGTAAAATTTACAACAGACGAAAATGTTCCTGACATGGAGCGGGCAGAGCGAAACATACCCTCACAGGTTTGAGAACTAAATAAGTAAATATTCATTGCTTCTGGTGGTAACTTTTTTTCTGTTACTAATAAGGCAAGATACATTAGTTGATGAGCATTGATCTCAATACAATAATAGGCATTATTAGTAATAAAGAACTGATGTTTTTTATTTTTTCGATTATTTTTAATTCCACTAAGTTCATATAAAATATCATCTAAATCTACTTTTCGCATGTTAGCAATCCAAGTGTACCACCAGCGACTAACAAAAACTGAAAACCATGCATGATAAAGTCTATGAATTGGAGTTGTTTCTTTGTCATTGTATGCAATTATAATAGAACGAAGAAGGCGAAGATACAATATTATGCCTTCAGAATTAGGAACATTAGTTAAATTATTAATTACATTGTCACTACATATCTTAACACAAGAACTGAAATTTTGACGATCCTGTGGAAAAATGTCAGATTTTACTAAACCATGTTGTAGTTTTGGAACGTTTTGAATTAATGTTGAGAGGTAATCAATAGAAATGCAGCTATTTCCAATTAACAAATTAGCTTTACGAGATAATAGTCGATTACGCAATTTAGTACAAAGATGCACTGTAAAAAAAAAAGGAGTTTTACCAAACTTTGAAGGTTTCGCAATGGTTTTCGAAACCATTTTAAGTTCCGTGGGATGAAAAAGGTTTCGTAGTCTTCATACTGAACCTTTTTAAGTTCCGAAAACCGACGAAGGTTTCGAAGTTTCACGACGAAACCGTCCTAGAGTTTCGTGCACTGTGTACTGAACTTTCGGAGATTTCGTATGTTTCGTACGAAACCGTTGAGAGTTTCGTAGAGCATCTAAAGGTTCCGTAGTAGTTCTATGAAACCTTTCATAGTTTCATAAGTGCTCTTATGGTTCCGAAGATGCTGCACGAAACCAGCCGTGGTTTCGTAAAAGATATACCGAACCATTACATCATTTAGAAAGCTACGAATAGTTTCGTACAAGTTATACTGAACCTTTTGATGTTTTACGAAACCTCTGATAGTTTCGTGGAGCAGACAAAGGTTCCGTATATCTTATACGGATCTATCAAAAGTTTCGTAAAACATCAAAAGGTTCGGCATGCACTATACGAAACTGTTCATAGTTTCGTAAATGATGTAATGGTTCGGTATATCTTTTACGAAACCATGGCTAGTTTCGTACAATCTTTCCGTAATTATTAGAGCACTTATGCAACTATGAATGGCTTCGTAGAACTAATACGAAACCTTTAGATGCTTTACGAAACCATCAATGGCTTCATATATTTTGTACAGAACCATAATAAAGATTGTGAAACCAACAATAGTTCCGTACAAATTGTATGGAACCATTTTACTACTTGCGGAACTAAGGGTGGTTCCGTGTTCTAGATACAGTACCTTTAGGTGTCCTACGAAACCGTAAATGGTTTCGTATATTGTATACAGAACCATAATAAAGGTGGCGAAACCCTCAATAGCTCTGTACAACTTGTACCGAACCATTTTACTGCTTGCGGAACTAAGGATGGTTTTGCGTTTCATATTCGGAACCTTTAGATATGCTACGGAACTATCATTAGTATCGTATAATGTATTCGGAACCTTTAGATATGCTACGAAACTATCAGTAGTATCGTATAATGTATATGGAACCATAATATAGTTTACGAAACCACCAACAGTTCCGTACAAGTTATACGAAAAAATTTTACCCCTTACGACACTAACGGCGGTGTCGTAATGTATATACGGAACGATTATAGGTTTCGTACATTGTTTATGAAACCATTATGTAAGACTTACAAAATTGTCAGAAGCTTCGCATAACAAATGCGAAATGTTTTGGTATTCTAGAAAGCCGATCATGGTTTCGTTGGTTAGCTAAACGCTCCATTCCATTGCACGACATCAATGATAGTCTCGCAAAATACATTAAGCTTTATCAATTTTCCCATAGAGACTGTTCAAATTCTAGTAAGCGATGACAGGGTCGCTCTGCTTCGCTTGAAAGCATATGCCATAATGAATACCATCGAAAATTTCTTACTTATTCGTTTGGCTAAGAACGTTCCGCTGTTCGCTATAATACTTTAATAGAGAACACTCATCGACACAAAAAAGCTTATTAGCGAACATTGGAGGTATAAGAAGGGAATATCGAAGAAGTGTCCGTACAAATACATAATGCACAAGCCAGAGAAAAAGATCAGGGTATGGCACAATCAGATGATCATACAGATAATGTCAGGTTTACTTATCGACTCCAGATACTAGTTAACCGAGTGCCGAAAGATAAATTGATAATGTTTAGAGCTCACCGAAATAAGACAAGCACATTTTGGATGTGGGCCTGAGTGTGGGTGTACGTTTGAGTGTGGTTTTCATTCTTTGCTTTATCCACACCAATCATCAACCCACACCCACAATTTTTACTGTTACCCAACCAATGCTTTCTAGACTAGAATTTTCCAAAACATATGCATTTATTCCTTCATCTGATATTTTCACTCGCGTGCTATCATTTATAATATTAAGCACCAACATTGAGTAGTTAATAGATATCTATAAGGAGAATCATCAATTAGGTAATCTAAATTGATGAAGATCACCATGCAGTAGATGATTAATATGTACGAGGACCAGCAATAGGTGAGTCATTTGTATTATTGAGGGCCAACATCAGTCTTTGATCTGCGACAGACAAACACACAAACACGTTTTATTTCATATGACCTCCCTTTATTCGAAGGGAAAAAGTCAGATTTTTGCCCAGGTCAAAGATGTACGGCAGGAAACGATAGGATCCTGCGAAATTCCGGCCATTTCATGGAAGCAGTATTCCAAAATCGGATCCGGCTTCCGGATCCTGCTTAGTTCCCGCTAATTCCTGCACCAGGATGCAATGTTCGGATACGGTTGTCGTTTCCGGTCCGGTTCCTGACCAAGTTTCCGGTTTTATAGCACGCTAACCGGATCCGAGCTGTATACCTGCCGTTTCCAGTACGGTTCCGAACAAAGGTTCCGGTGTTCCTTCCCAACCGCAGGATCCCGGTTATAAAGCACCCATTTCCGTTCCATTTACAAAGCTCACATCCGGTCGTATTAAAGATCTGTGAAAGATATTTCGAAGATATTTCGAAGATATTTCGAAGATCTTTCAAAGACTATCAAAGAATTTCAAAGACTTTCAAACACCTTTCAAAGATTTTCAAAGATATTTCAAAAATCCTTCTAAGATCTTTCGAAGGCCTTTCCTAGAACTTTAAAAGACTATCAAACACTTTGAAAGATCTCTGAAAAAGCTTTCAAAAATCTTTGAAAGATCTTTCTAAGACTTTCCAAGACCTTTCAAAGCCTTTAGAACACTTTGAAAAAATGCTTCAACGATCTTTCAAAGGTATTTCTAAGACTTTCAAAGATCTTTCAATGGTTTTTCTAAGACTTTCAAAGATCTTTCAAACGTCTTTCTAAGACTCACAAAGATCTTTCTAAGACTTTTCAAGACCTTTCAAAGACTTTACAAGACTTTGTAAAAATGCTTCAAAAATCTTTCAAAGGCTTTCGCAGACTTTGAAAGACCTTTCAAAGACTTTCCAAGACCTTTGAGAGACTTTGAAAAAATGCTTCAAAGATCTATCAAAGGTCTTTCTAAGACTTTCCAAGGCCTTTTAAAGAGTTTAGAAGACTTTGAAAAAATGCTTCAACGATCTTTCAAAGGTCTTTCTAAGACTTTCAAAGATCTTTCAAAGGTCATTCTAAGACTT